GTTTAGCTATACTCTGTATTACCAATAAGTAAATGTTCGCGTATTACATTATTGGTCCTAATTTATTCAACGTGAAACATGCAGTTTTTCCACGCCACGAAAATGTCCAACTTTACAGTAACATTTTAAAATATGTTTAGCTTATTTTTCTATTGCATGCACAAACCCCTCACCGAAACATAATTGTTTTAAATTGATCCCATTTTATGCCGTGGTATGAAAATGAGATCAACGACAATCAGGTGTCTAAACAACCTTATCACATTTGATCATATGTGGTCTTTTCAACTCCACATGTCCTTGCCGTCAAACAAACAATTTATAATGTAGTGTATTACCCAATCAAAAACAGTATTTCCTTTTTCTTCCGTTGCAGGTTCTAAGAAAGAATAGACATGAGGCAAGTAACCAGAGACGCATTGCAGAATCGCGTTTTTTCTTCTGCTTTGTCTGATTAACGGATGCTGAATTAATAAACAAAAAGATCTGCTCACCCCATTGCAACATAAAGAATCTTGCTTTTCTTTTGTCTCAGTTTCTTGCTCTTTCGTTTCCGTTGTAGTACACCTGGGCGTCCGTTTCCAACTACCTTTATTGTTGCAAGGAAGTTACATATAAACCCGAAACAATCAAACGTTTATAAAATACAATAAAAGTCGTTAATAATTACATGTATGCTTAATGAATCCAATCCTTTCCCTTTCATCAAATAAAAAAAATGTAAGGTCTTTGCAGTATTCGCTGTTCTGTTTATTTACCAGCCTCTGTAGTGATCGAACCCACATAACATGAGAGTGATAAGACATCCATAAAAGCAAGTTTGTCCATTATTCTTTTATATTATACTGGCGCTTTTGCGAATAAAACACTCGTGTTAAATACAGGCCATTCATTCTGTGCATGTCCCAAATTCTTAAAATCTATAATCCCTTACACAGTCAGACAATGACATACCAGCTATAGCTGTCCTGTGCAATACAAAAGTCAAAAGCTCTTATTTACAGAACAAGCCGTTCTGATTAAGCTATTCTAGTGTACGGGGCTACTTTAATTTCACCGACGTTGAACGACATTGCCTTAGTAGTAATATAGCGGTACGTCTGTCATTATTCGATGGTTTCATAGACATCGTTATATGCAAAATAATACTAGAATATCGAATCAAATGTCAAGAAAGTGAAATTTCAAAATCGGGAAATTGAAACCACAACGGTTATCGTGCAACCTATGGGTAAGCCGTCTGTTCAATGTCAGGATCAAGGTAGACATTTCCCGCATTTTTTTCATGGAAATAAAGCTTACATAAACACAGAAATGCGGCGTTCGTCAGTGTTTAAATTCAACATTGTAATGATTCCACCTCTCGAATATTCTGTCACTATTCCACTCAAACCCTTATTCAGTAACACTTGGTGTGGTATTGATACAAATGTATTATATATATGGGAAAGGAACGCTGCAGCTTACTCCTTCAAGCAAATATGTTATTGTGAACTGAGCTTCCGTTCCTATATATATACTTTTTATAGCTCAAAAATATATATCCCTGCTTTAATATACGTTTTGATTATTCACAAATGTGTGGTCCTGCTAAAAGTTTAAATAAGCACTGAACCACATGTCTGATGTCACTACAACCCTTTTGCATAACACTGACCTCTATAAATAATGTTTAAGGTTAATATCTAAAGCCGATTTTGCAAGCAATCATGATACTTATTTATCTACAGCGAATTTACGTCTCAATGATAACAACAACAAAAAAAGTTTAATGGTAAAATAATATCAACTTTTTCTATTTTACAACAATTTTGAAACAAGCTTTTACAACCTATACTGAGCACTCTTGTTGGCAAGGATGTTAGCGCGCGGGGTGGGAGGAAACCGGAGTATCCGTAGAAAACCCACGTGATCGGGCAGGTGACCCCATACCTTTTCACGTCCAATCAGGGACCCGAACCCGGGCTGCCCTGGTGAAAGGCGACTGTGCTATCCACTGCGCCGCCCGATCCCCCTAAAGTATTAAACTATGATGTTTCGAGGAGGAATTCAACATCTTAACATTCCAATTAAGATCTGATATGTTAAATGAGTTTAAAATGTAGTAATCTTTTGTTTTGGTAAACATTTAACAATGTTTTGAGAAGAAAACTATTTTTACTTTCCAATAGAGATCCGATATGGCCGATACGTCTCTGTAGTATAGTACTCGTTTATTTGTATAGTTAGTGAAAAACTGCATACAGTTTGACGAATGAAATCATACCCGCATACGTGTATATATTTCTAATTATCGTTTAATTGTTAATATCTAAATGCTTAAACTCAGTAATAACTCACTTACCAGGTACAGCCCGTATAAGTATCTATATTTACTCTGACAGTACGTGACTTGAATGTTTAACAGGATACTTCACGAGAGATTGCAAATCTCTAAAGCTAGCATTAACAATTAGTGATTATTTCCGTATATATCTGGAAACGTTTATTGGTTTAACGCCTTTCCTGTCGCCACTTTGTCGTTGTGTGGACTTGTAACACATATTGATTAGAAAACATTGTTTACTGGTATTACCAACGAACTCTTATAATAGTGACAGTTTACATTTACTTACCTATTTTGTTTGATCCAATTCAATATAATAGAGTGCTTGTCATTCACGAAGGTGACCAGGGTTTGACTTCCCAATAGGGCGTGAAAAGTTATTGGATCACCTGCCCGTCCAATTGGCTTTTCTCTGGGTCCTCAATTCCCTTCGACATTAAGAACCACTGCGCACTATACGGACCTTAGTTATTTAAAAATTGTTGTAAAATAAAATTTGTATTTATGTTTATATACCCATTCCGAAATTTGAATTTCGGTAGACGTCATAGACTCAAAAATGGTCACAGCTTTGTCGATCTTGTTCAACAATAAGAAATAGTCAATAGAAAACGAAATAGGTAAGCATATATCTAAAAATAACACGGGAGTTTGATACATACTTTGTTAAAGTACTCTTAAGCGCTTTACAACATATGGATCATATTATTAATTTTAATCATTGCACAAGAAAGGCTTACAACCACCATTTTACATTAAGCATTGGCATCTGTACTGTTTACATGTCATAAATTCCAATGGGTCAGAAGGACCACGAGAAACCATTGTTAAATGAGTGTATTAAGTGTCTTTTCATGTCCAGCAAACAAAGATGTATGACCTCGACCATTGGACAGAGGCATCCCTAATGGTTTATCTTGGTATGATGATTGTGTTTGTCTCTTCATTCCCAGTACACATGTATGCTATATGATTCCCCGTTATCTGTGGAAGTCTCAGCAAGCCAAAGTTCGTAACAGCCACCTGGTATGATTTTACACAAAAAAAAACATTTTTTTACAAGACAACCAAAAACATATATGACATTGTTCATAAGTACCCGATTGCTTAGTACATGATTGTTCATGTTTGTGACTTAGCTTTTGAATGTACTACACATCTTCTTATCATGTACCAATATAAAAGTTCATGAAACAGTTGTCAAAATATTTCAGTACTTGAGGTCATAGTTTAAGGTCAGATTGAGGTATAAATGATCTTGTTTTAGGATGCAACACACTGTCCCCCATGATATACCCATTAAAAAGCGACTGAGAAATGCTCTGGAAACCATTATTTCAGTATTTAAGATTGAGGACAATGGTCAAATTGAGGTAAAATTGACCTTGTAACAACAGCTGAGATATGCTCCGGCAACTGCTATTTCATTGCACGTGAGATCAAGGTCATCCAAAGTCAAATTTAGGTCACAATGACCTCATTTTAGGAAGCGGCACGCCGCCCTCCCGTGATGTTCCTATGTAACAAGTTTGAAGCCTATTCAGTGGCCAAGATATGCTCTGGAAACCATTCTTTCAGTACTTGAGATCAAGGTCAAAGGTCAAATTATGGTCACAGTGACCTTGTGTTTGAGATGTGACACACCACCCTCTCATGACACATCTATACACAAAGTCAGATGCCGATTTATAATACATCGGCTGATACATGCTCTGAAAACCATTATTTTAGAGGTGAAGGTCAAATTGAAGTCACATTGACTTTGTTATAGGATGCTACACACCACCTTCTCATGATGTACCTATATATTCATGGAACAGATATACTCTGGAATCCATTATTTCAGTATATCGAGGTAAAGGTCAAATTAAGGTCTCAGTGATCTTGTTTTAGGATGTGAGGCACCGCCTTCCCATGTTCTTCCCATAAAAGAATTTGATGCAAATTCATGTAACAGTAGATGAGATACTGAATCGCTGTACAGCCAAATCAAATGGCCAATATTTCGTTCACCATTATGTTGCGTTCTTTATATACGGTACCTGTACCTGACCAGCATTCGAACCCTGTACCGCTGATCACAATAAGTCGCTATAACCAAATAAGCTACATGCATGATGCATGCATGCCAGCTCTCTCTATTTTGCACCCTAAAGTTGACCATTTTAAAGCAGTGATTTTTGTTCTAGGATGTGATGGTTTCATCTGCAGAAACAGCTTAAAATATACCATTTAAAATTATTATTTTCCATAGGGTACCGTTTTTTGTAAGAGCTGTGAAATAACACAAAAATGAAACAAAGGCACAAAAAACAGCAAAATGGACATCATGCATCTACTAAATGATTAAATGTTATTCAAACCTGTTCTTGCTGTACAATTCATCACATTTTATATTCCACCCAGAACTATTTCACAGTACATTTCGTATTCTCACATTGCACAGAAAAACATTCTTTATCTACACACTCCTCAGAAATACAATATTTATCTACAAACTCCACAGATATATATTCCTAATCTACACACTCCATAGAAACATATTTTGAAATTACATACTCCATAGAAAAATCAATAGTGTATGCAAACATTGAACATATTTACCATTTATACACTCCACAAAAACAAAGGCTATGCCACAAACTATCTAAACACACATGGATGTAAAAGTACATCATGTCTTCCAAAGAAATCTTGTGTCGTTCAATAATAGAAAGAGTGCGTCATTGAACGGCTTATAAAATTGTTCCAATATATGTCTGGTCTCGTTGAGCATCGGCCCTACTGCTCGGGTTGACAGTCCTCTTTCATTGTGATGTTTTGCTGTAGTTTCAACGTTACCAATATCACCTAAATGTGCAACAGAAATGGTCAATTATCATGTGTACAACAGCAGTAATACATTAATTTATTTCAATATTAACTACATGTAGGTATGGAAAATGCAATTCAAACCTCTAGTACAGTACTCTAGCTGTTTAACTTTAAATGTGTTGAGTTACACAGATATATACACCTCTAGTACAGTACTCCAGCTGTTTAACTTTAAATGTGTTGAGTTCCACAGATATATATACGCCTCTAGTACAGTACTCCAGCTGTTTAACTTTAAATGTGTTGAGTTCCAGAGATATATACACCTCTAGTACAGTACTCTAGCTGTTTAACTTTAAATGTGAGTTCCACAGATATATACACCTCTAGTACAGTACTCTAGCTGTTTAACTTTAAATGTGTTGAGTTCCACGGATATATACACCTCTAGTACAGTACTCCAGCTGTTTAACTTTAAATGTGTTGAGTTCCACGGATATATACACCTCTAGTACAGTACTCCAGCTGTTTAACTTTAAATGTGTTGAGTTCCAGAGATATATACACCTCTAGTACAGTACTCTAGCTGTTTAACTTTAAATGTGTGGAGTTCCACAGATATATACGCCTCTAGTACAGTTCTCTAGCTGTTTAACTTTAAATGTGTTGAGTTACACAGATATATACACCTCTAGTACAGTACTCCAGCTGTTTAACTTTAAATGTGTTGAGTTCCACGGATATATACACCTCTAGTACAGTACTCCAGCTGTTTAACTTTAAATGTGTTGAGTTCCACAGATATATATACACCTCTAGTACAGTACTCTAGCTGTTTAACTTTAAATGTCATCACTTAGACAAACTCTACAGATATTACAATATTGAATGCCTTGAATGCACTGCTAACTAAATAGCTCTATGTTATTGCATACATATTTTCGTCCCTAAAACAGGATTATACAACAGATTGATGATGAAACCTTTGATTGCAACATCAGTTACTTACATAATTCAAGGAACTTATATATTTTCAACATGGTCATTGACGGGTTCGTCGAGTATTCGTCTAATGAGAGGACGAGAAGTTGTTTCCGAGGGAAAATATCCATCCAGTCTTTTAGGTATACAGCGTATAAGCCAAGACACAAGCTAGTCGGAGTAGTGCATTCCTTAACACAAAGAGTTATTGGAACATTAACCTTTTCTACATACTTTATAAGCTGAGAATATCCCTGGTATCCTTACACCAAACAAAGGTTTATCATCGCATTCAACAACAAAAATGCAACAAATACAGCATAATTATCTCATTAGGCCTGATAAACCTCCAAAAGCCCTTAAAACCACAAAACAAACTTTACCAGTCTTAAAAACCTGACGACAAATCAGAAACAAATGTGATATTAACCTCCACAACAAACAGTAAATATTTCTGAAAGCTTACCGATGAACAACAAACAGTTTCGATTACCCTCTAGAGGATCAAGAATAGTGTCGATTGACTGACAACATAAAGAGAAATGTCTCGACAACCTTACAAAAGACCGTCAATATTCCTGATAACTTGATGAGTTCCGATTACCTGATTACAAACTGGGAAAGGTTAATGTTATATTACAGCAATCACTAAGTAACAAGGCACAGTATTGCAAGGCAATCCATAGTCCCCCGACGGTAATAATTTCTATATTTATCGAACAGTACACTTATGTCAGGGAGTATAGGTCAGAGTGAAGTCATAGTGACCTTATTCTTGCACTCCAGCTGAAATATAAAAGATATGCCCCCAAAGAACATTTTCAAAATTAAAGGTCGAAAGTCAAGGCAAAGTTCACAGTGACCTAAATATTGCACTCTGCCATCAAAATATGTCCTTGTACGGCAAATCTGGTTACTCCATGTAGAAGCAGAAGATAGTCCCCGGACAAACTCTTCAAAAGTATAGGTCAAAGGTCTAGTCATAGGTCACATTTACCTACATGTAATTCTTGTACTCTGCACTCCGTCACCGCAAGATATCATTGCACACCAAAACTTGTTACTCCGGTCGAAAGAGTATAGGAGATATGCCCGTGACAAACATTTTCAAAAATGAAGGTCAAGTCATAGTTACCTTATTATTGCATTTTCCACTCCGCCACCTCAATATATCCTTGTATTCCAAATCTGGTTACTCCATGTGAAAAGTATAGAAGATATGCACCGGACATTTTTTTTTTCAAAAGTTGAGGTCAAAGGTCAAAGCAAAACTCACAGTGAGGTCATGGTGACTATTTTCTTGCACTCTGCCTTTTCACGATGTCATTGTACACCAAATCTGGTTACTCAAGGTGAAATAATATAGAAGTTAGTCCCGGACAAATTTCTCGGACGGAAAGACGGATGGAAGGACGAACGGACGGAATGCAAACCTATAGTCCCCCTGGAACCGTTGAGGGACTAATTAACTACGTTAACTCAGCAATAGACAGATAATATTTCGGATAACCGGATAACAAACATATATTAATCTATTTTAATCTGACAGCAAAAGCGAATTGTTAGAATGATTTACAGAATACCCTTCACACAGCATATAAATAGTCAATATAGCATTTAATCAAACATAGTCAATATAATGTAAAATGAAAAAAATAAACAAAATAGCATTTAATCAAATATAGTCAATATAGATATTTCTATATGTTGACTGACCTTGTAAGCACAGTGTCGTAGACTTTCCTTTGCTAAGCACGTGTTGAATTTGTTCACTGAAGTGGTCACTATGCTATGGAACAATTTAACAGACTTTTTTGCACTGTTCCCGAAATATAGATAAGCAGAAAACAACCTGTAAGAAAAAACATGAAAATAAGTTTTCAGCATATATCGTTTAAAACAGAAAATGTTCGTCCTTTCTCTTTTTCACGTTCGAGCGATAGCTTAGATCGGGATATATTTCCCCACAGTTTTAAAGGGTTGTGGGGTTGAGTTACGTCCTTGTAACAGTTTACTTGAGATGGATAGAGGTGCCTAGGAGCTACTGTCACCCGGTAAAAAAGAACAGAGAAGTTTCATGTTTGTCCTAATTTTTGTTTGCATAGTTTTAGTTTGAACCAAATTTTATTTCATTTTTTTCTGGTCATACATAATATACTTAAGTACAGGATTCAGAAAAAAAGTGTTTAAATGCTAATATGAATCTGGCTCCTTAAATACTGACAAGCGGATGACAACACTATAAAGCTAACTATAACTGTAAGTCAAAGGCTAACTAATACCCCCGCTCCTATATAAACCAGAACTGTACGCTAAAGGCTTACTTATGCAAATCAATATAGTCTCCCACCAGTAATGAGTTATGGTAAACATTATTTTATTAAAAACAAAAAAAACAAAATAACAAAACAATAAACAAGTATTTCGCACAAAGGGGTATAACTCCATCAAAAAGGGTCGAAATCCTAAACTAAAATGCCAGTGCACAACAACATAAGTACCGATCATTCATGCAAGGTTTCAATGAAATCCATCTGTTAGTCAAGGAGGAGTTACATGGACAAATATTTCGCACAAAAGGGTATAACTACATCAAAATGGATCGAAATCCCAAATTAAAATGCCGGTTTACAACTACATAAGATACCGATCATTCATGCAAAGTTTCAATGAAATCTACCTGTTCGTTAAGGAGGAGTTGCGCGGACAAGTATTTCGCAAAAGTGGGCATAACTCCATCAAAAAGGGTCGAAATCCCAAATTAAAATGCNTACTGTACTTGCTACATACAATTGCATACTATAAGATAAGTGAACCCAACATAGGTAAAATACATGTTATAAATCACGACAAAGATGATTTGTGACTCACTGGGATTTATGTGACAGCACTGTCAATTTATGAAACGTTTGGTTTACGAAGTAAAATGTTGAATACAACGGAAAACGCTTTCGTTCTCATCAATAGATAAATTTGGATTGGATCTCCGTACAGATGCATGTCAAGAGTGAAATTTTCAGGTACATTTATAAAAAAAAAAGTCATTCTTTATATTTGTATAATTAGGATGAGACAGAAGAAAATGTACACTAGTTTCATGTGCCTGTCTACATGAGCAATAAGGACTATCGACATGATAAACAGGTGGGCATTTAAGGAGCCGCAGTTCATCCACCGTAGAGTGATGAACCAGGTCGCAATAATGATAAGGGGGGACTGTAAGGGAGTGTCTGTGTAGGTAGTTTTTCATGTTACTTATTGAGGGCTTATTTTTGATATATTGGAATAGTGAATTTCACAGGTCAATAGAAGAAAGAAGAAAAGAATGTCTTGAAGACATTAGCAAAATACATTTCTTAAATTATCAGCAACACGTGTGTTATATTGGTGAGCGTCGATTCTGAGTTGAGGGAGTAGATGTGAAAGGTACGGGGGAGTAAGGCCAAAAATAGTTTTATGTATCTGAACTATTTTGTTTGCACAGTTTTGTTTCAGCCTATTAACTCTTACGGCCGTTGTTGACCTCACAGCCATTCTTTATTGACGGGCAAGTGAGGACAAAATTAAACATTATACTGATTTATTGCCACCAATATCAATTTTTTAGATATTTGTCTTGCTTTGAGTTGTGATGCTTATTATGTACGATGTTTAACTTTTTGTTTAAATAACAAACGGTTATTTAGAGCTATCAACAAAAACCGTTGATTTAAAATACAAACAGTCAACGGGATGATGTAGAGGTTTCCGAAAGGGTCACATGATTCCAACATCATTTAGTTTTTCAATAAATTTGATCCATGTAACCCGAAAATTGGGTCATGTAAACACTTCATACCGGACAAATATAATTTTAAACATTTTTGAGGTTTGACCAATTAAGCATCTGTGACCTTAAATATGAGACAAGGTAACTTCTACAACGAACCTTTGTAGCATTTCATGAGAGAGAGTATCAGGCCAAACATCATGACTTCAGGTTTTTTAGTTCCTCGGAAGATGGTGATTTTTAAAAAACCAAACCGTTCAACAGGAAAAAAGACGCGCTACGACAAAGCCTCAATTTGCCCTTCGAGCATGGGGCAATAAAAATACTAAATGAACATTTGGTTATCTACCTTTGCAAGTATTGTGATAAATAAAGACCTCGAGTTTTGCGCGACGGTCAGATTGATAGCTTTTGAATCTGAATAACAACAATCAAAGGCAGTGTTTCATGTTTTGGCCTGAATGAAACTTGTGTTGAGGTAAAGATGTACATGTACTTCCTCGCAACCCGCGGACAACTTCATACCACATATCACACACCCTCTTTCACAAACAAACTTCCAATGTCGCGTTCCACGTGGATGTCATCACGTCCTTACCGGTCAACTGGGTTTCTAAGAATGGCCAACAATTTCACATCCGGCAGGATGTGACGTATGAAATGAGCGTTGAGTAATCCAGGTTCCTTGTCATTTTTATTTTTCGGATTCCACCACCACCATTCGTTAAACCACATAGTAGTCCCGCTACCTTCACCTGTAAATAGATATTTGTCATTAGTTACATATTTCCTGATTGTGTTTTTTTTTCATTATGCGTTTCCTTTCATCATTATCTGGTCTCAAGGCGTTTCTCATTTTGTGGATTCGAACGTAGGCACATACACCGCCTGTACTACACTACCTTTTTTTTCTCTTCCAACATCTTTATTTTTTTTTACATGTTATTTTACAAAAGACAGTACAAAACACAATTTGCATACACTCTTGCTCTCGTACTATGAATATTTAAGGAAAATTTTTGAATTCCCATCCGAGATGCGCATTACACATGTAGTACCTGTGTATTTGTGACCGTAACGGTTTGGAGATGGAATGAATTATTCGAAATTGGTTAATACACATCTCGGGCGGCGATCGAATTAGGTACAAGTTATAGGTGCATATGTGGATAAATATACAATACTTGGTAAATAAGCTATGGTATCAGAAGTTAGAAAAGAATCTCCATTTTTGGAGAAAGGTATTTTGTTTCCCTTTACATGTTGCGATATATTTTTCCACTTTATAATGGTACACTATATCTCTCTTTACAATTTCTATAAAAAGTGTATCACCTTTCATACGTTGTTTGTAAATGTAATATTTAACAATTAGCATAGGTTCTGCACATAATATGTTTTACCTATTTTCCCAAATATAATATCTTGTTTTGCAAAGTTAATGTAAACTTGAGGTTTTTGAGGCTTCATACCGGACAACACATACTGGTCCTCAACCTCATCAGCCTCATGGTCACCCTCATCCTGGACGTCCTCCTCAGAGGGCAAGCCTCCTGAGGACCGTCATCAGACGGCCTCGGAAAGACCAGCGTCTATATCCGAGCAACCAGGTGAAAGCTGTACAACATCATCGTCCTCTGCCATACCCGCGCCCTCAACGTCCATAGCACCACACCATCCAGACCAAAATCCTCGGGCGAAAGAAATGGGCCAGCCATCTCGAGAGAAGGCTCCCCATACCGGCGTTTAGGTGCAGTGCGCCTAACGACCGTGGCTGTAGGTTTAGGCTTAGCCAAAACCCTACCCTTGGACCCAGCGACCAACGACCCTGCCCGAGATTCAGAAGTCCTAAAGGTCCGACACACCTTCTTAGGACCGGCCGATAAGGCCCCCGAAGTAGCAGAATGTTGGGGGGGGGGGGGGGCGGGTCAACACGTCTAACACGTCTCCGCGGGGGAGAGACCAAACCCCAAGGATTCCACGACGGAAAAGCCATGGGGTTAAACCCACATCCCGAAGGATAAGGGAAAGGTCCCGCGGGCTGGGAGTGACCCCAGAACTGACCAAACTGGCCTGCCTGAGACTGGGGCTGGCCAACTTGCCAAAAGAGCGAAGGTGGACCGCCACTCCCTCCAGGTGGAAACCCGGACATGTACGGGCTAAGCCCGTAACTGCCGGGATGCTGCCGCAACCCAAAACCATCCGCAGGCTGGTAAGGGCGGCACAAGGATGGTTGCCCGCAGGCACCCGTATACCCTAAGCCAGGGGAAAACGGAAACCGAAAACCTGCCCCCTGTCCAGCAAACCCAACACCTGGGGGAAACCCCCCAGGTTCCCGGAAGAATGAAACTCAGGACCGGACATAATAGGACCGGGTCCGGGTAACTGACCAGGAGGGTAAGCCTGACCAGCATTGGTCCCGGTAGACACAGACAATCCCGAAAGAAAGTCTGTAGTCACACCAGGACGTGAAACCGAAAGAACAGGCCCGGCATCAAGACTGTCCCCAACGACAGCACCACCTGGAATGACAGAGTCAGCGACCGGCGGCCGGTAGTCCCTACCCGAAGGCAAGCGCGAAAGCCTACGGGCGTTCCCGGCCAATTCGACCCTGGGCTGTGCCAAGCCAGGGTCGGGCTGCCCCTCCCCTACTCCAGGGAGTTCCTGGACAGGAAGGGCCACCCCCTGCTCACGAGAGGGACTCGCCGAAGCAAAAAAAACGGGACAGGAACAGAGACAGTACCACCAGACCCCAGAGAGCTGGTGGCACGACCTCTACCTCTCTGCTTCCCTCGCTTACCGGAAGAAACAGACGAATCTCTCTTACGGTAAGCTGAGAATAGTTTTGGAACAATGAAGTCCTTGTCCTGAGATTTAGTCTGTGAACAAATTCACAAAGCGAAACCTCACTGCAAGGACGACACCTGGGACAAGCCTCATGAGGGTCCCGTTCCACGAAGAAATGGGAACACCCATGAGCTCTACCTCATCGCTGTCCCGACCGAGACATACCCTCGAAAGCGAACGTAAACAAAAATGTACAAGCAGATAAATACGGGAAAAAATAATAAAATACGATAGTAAAAAGTACGCAACGTAAAAAGAATTTCACCCGTAATATAAATCAGAAAACGGTTAAAATAAATAACGTTTGCCGAAACAAACAACCGTCACTGAAATAAACAGAGGTCGAAAATTAACCCACAATAATGGCGGACCGCGTGGCACACCACCGGCACACGTGGAGTAAAATAACCGGCCGTAAAAGGCACAAAAATAATTTTCAACAATAATTAATTGTATTAACAAGGGCAGATGGGTATAAGGTACACAAACTGCCCAATAAATTGAGTTGACACTCGCACCAAACCGACAAAACAACGTTTTGAAATGGAGCTAGCTCCGAGCGTCAGCAGGCAGCAGGCGCCATAAAAGGAAGAGGAAGGGAGATCACTCCGTGGCTCTGTCGTCGAGATATGGGTTACGTCACGGTAGGGAGGTGGGGATATTTGAATCTTTTGTTTTTGGGCTACAAAGATGGGTGTAGGTATTGTATATGCATACTAAAGTTATGGTAATTATTACTGAAATGAAAAGAGTTTTTTGTGAATATCCAGTGTTCAAGAAGTAGCCAAAGCCTCTCGACATGTTCACATTAAAAAAATATGTGTAGTTAAGTATCTACGGATTGTTTGCAGAATGTACAAAGTGTTGTTTTTTATTTTAATTTTTGTAAGAAAACTGTTAGTTGCAAGTATCCTATGTATAATTATATATTGAAACCACTGCAGAGTCACATCTGTTGTTATTTTGAAAACTATATTTTGTAATTTTATTAATTCAAAACACATTAGACCATTTGTCAATATATTTATTAGTGCATTTAATTTTGGAAATAAAAGTATCATACATGTCTCTGCTTCCTTTTTTGCTTTGTTGCAATCCAACCGAGGCATTGTTTAAAGTACATGTCAGCTATAAAGGCATAAGTGAGCTTCTCAAGCCGTAGAACACTGTATGAGGTGGGCGGAAGTCATAGACTCGACAAAATTCTTCATAAGAATAAAGACGTTTATTTTCTATATGAACCATATCGGATAAAAATTGAATTCCTTTATCACACCATCTTTGATACTACACTTAACAAAATGTTATATTTACCTTTGCATGGCATTGTCACTAGATATACATATGTACTACACACCGCTTGGAGGCATACAATCTCCACCTTTCACGATGTCGATTAGTTTGCCCGCCTACGTGACTCCACGTTCAGCCCCCACCAGCACTCCACGGTGGAACGTGACTCCGCACTACACCGTTGGAAAGCAGGGAGGGAACGTAGAGGTCGTCTAAAGTCATAAAACAACAAAAGGTATCCACGCTTAAAAATCCAGCACATACTCATAACGCGGAGGGATCGTACATTTAAGCTGTTGGCTTATTGACTTTCAATAGGATTGACGTAGAAATACTTAACGATAGACGGGGCACCTATCACTTTTTGCGCGTCAATTTACCCTATACAACCCAATGTAAGTGTCGGTTTACCATATACAAATATCAACTCAATTTCCACAATGCATGTATCAAAACATCCCCTCCTCACCTTCGCCTTTGCAATCAGAAATGTTACGACTTAATATTTTGAATTGCTTACGTAAAACTAACAGATGCACATCATTATACAGTTGTTGTAAAACCGTTATTTTGAATATATCAAACCAAGTATACATGTTAAAGAATCTGTTTTCTTCTCTGATATTTATTTTGTAAGTAGATCAACTCGACTGTCTCTGTGAAATATTTCATTATGTGACGTGCGGTGCCATTGAGAATGCTACAGTGAATTACTTTTTTGTCTTGATACTGTCTTTTATGACGATAAAACAAATGAATGGATATCATACCAAAATGATAAACACATAGGGCCACATTTAAAGACTTCTTTAAAAATATCGTGATCTTGTCCTATACACGCTGTTTTATCATCACGTATGTACTGTGCTGCGAAACAAATGTTATCTATGAAAAAATGGATATGTTTTCTACAATGATTGCAAATTATCCTGGCAGTGTCATTTTATTTCATATCAATATAATTATTTTTCAAGAATCTACAGTTTCACGAAAGTCCGTTAAGTGCGGAGTTATTTTCGAAATGATCCGGTCAAACCACTGATTGTACTATGCCTAATTGTAATGAAACTCAAATGTAGATCTAGATTGCGAATATGTACATATACAATGTACCCGAGTAACATTAAGTTTTACAACTTATGGCAATCACAGCGAAGAGGACAAAGACATTCTCAGTAACACAAGGACACACTCGCACACATCACTATCATCAAATTCACTCACACAAACTCGCACACATCATCATCATCAAATACACTCACACTAACTCGCACTCATCATTATCATCAAACACTCAAGCCTCTTTGACGTCTTAACATCTAATAAGTTCATGAGAGTACATTTGTTTGAGGTCCTCGTTGATTTCTTGGTAGTCGCCTCTGTAGAAAGTATGTTTCGTGGGTGCCCCAATTTGTTCTACTCGTTGAATTTGACTGTTTTCTAAGACTTGGTAAATGTTATTTTCTGCAAAGGTGTTTTGGCTGCTGTAGATACAATAGATAGCAAGTTTGTCCCTATCCGTTAGGTTTAGTATACAGGATACTTGTTCTTCATAAGGTCCTGTTTGCTGTAGAGAGTTGCAATCAATAGTGGCGAATACATATATGATCCCAACTCTTTTCCTATGTTGTCCAATAAAATTATTGTAGTTCTCTGTTTTAGATTCCATCATCTACTGGGGTTTGGTTTATTTTTGATAGAATTTCTATTATACATATCACATCTGGATGGTTATTTTCTATATAGAGTTTAAGTTCCATTTTTTGTCAGTGCGTCTATATTAGAATAATACATTTTAAGCTTGTCAACTGATATTTTAGAGGAACCACCAATATCATTAAAACTGGTAAAACCTTCTTCCTAGTATGTGTCAAGTTCAGGTGACTAAGCTGGTATATCGTTGATCAGTGTGACGTACAGATGTTCGAACGAGTTTGTGCTGTATATAAACGTTGGTTCGTCCTCTACAGCAGAGTTCTTGTTATCCTCAAGATACGGGTTGAACGACACACGTTGGGGTGTTGGCACTTGTTCCATTGACGAAATTCACGTATAATTTGAAACTAGCGATGAGTTGAGATTTGGTGGAATCTATTTATTTTCTTATAGAATATGACGCAATATTTTTTTCAAACAACAACTGAGTGACGAGTGGGGAAGCTGTATCATTATTTGTAAAGATGTTGTAAAAACTTATGTTAATCGTTGTTGAAAAAAAAGACAAGATAAACTAGTATGTATTGCTCATTATACATACATTGACTTGCATGTTAATGTTTTTAAGTGAATTAAAAAACAAAACCTAGGAGTGAGGAAGGGCCATTTATATTTTCGTATCCCGATTTAAATCAACATCTGAAGCAATATATTAATGAAACAAATATTTCAAACTGTCATGACTGACCTGATTACTGCGGGCTTCCGTTGAGTGCGTGCGCCGGATATAGGTCGCAATAAAATCGGAAAATGTTTGACGACACTTGATTAGTTACTTACAAAATGTTATTTGTTACTATTTATGAATCGAGAATATGATATATATATAAATTAAAAACAAATAAATTATTAAAGAAAGTTGCGGAGTCATTTCAGTTGTGTATGGGAAATAGCGCGTGACGTCAGCTGCTATCTTTGTGCCGTTCTAGATATTGACCTGACCTGACGGTAATAAGCTGGAAATTTGAAATTTGGAAAAGACATAAATTATTTTTTTGCAAATTCTCATTATGGAAATATAAATATAAGCAATAAACTGCATAGATGTGGCAGACCAACTAGTATAACTGCCACATGTGTCACAGACAAACTGAATGGTGCGCGCTAGTTTATTGCTTAAATAATACGCAATTGTATTGATAATAAATTGATAAAGTGGAAATTTCAAATTTTGAATATCTAACTTGGCAGTTAAAAACAAAAAAAAACAAAAAAAACCGGGGAAAACGTAAATATAAGTATTGAACTAAATAATTGACCACAAAAATATATGCAAATTGTTTAGTATCTTTCAACCCATAACAGTGTATACTTATGTGCTCTAAATCAAATTAAATATTTTGTTTTTATTTCAAAATATTAAAGAAACATCCTACTCGTCTACATATAAGATAGGCCTAGTCTGAAACAGCACATAGAACGCAGACAACTTTACCGCATACAATTTAGCACAGCCATCACAAGAGAACCAAGTATTCGAAACATACGAAATAAATTGTATGTAACCATGTAACAGACAGGTCACAACGTGTGTGTTGCGTTATAAGAACTGATATATTTCCAACATTTAAGTATTGGACCAAAGGACATGAGGTCCAGTGGACTGAGACCCTACACCGCATGTCTACACACACATATAATCCACATTTACCAACCATAGTTGTAAAGCCACGCGTCGATACGGAAGATAACCACTTCCAGTTTAGAGTATACATGTTTAAGGATTGAACGTCTGTCAGATTGCAGTTATAGCCAATATTAATGCAATCTGGGTGACAGATAAATATAATGACGTATAATGAATATAAACACTTGCAATGATGGGGCCCTGTAGGAGAACAATACTTTTTGTTTAACGTCAAGTCAGTGAATGTTCTTAGAAAAAAAGAAAATTATAGCCCAGACAAATGTTTGGAACCGTGTACAATCGGAAAATTAAAAAAAAAAAAAAGGTTAAAAAGTGTTTTAGATATTCTTTGATTTTAGTTAGTGTCCTAGTATTTGTTCGTCTCCACCGGGGTGAGAAAAGTAATCTTATACACGAATTTATCTAAGAAATGAGCATGTGTTACACCCCATTTGAACGTTGACACTTGATGGCAGATTGATATACGTGATTTTGCCAATAGGATAGTAAGCCGACGTCTGCAAATGAAGTCAAGTAGGCTCATGTCTCCAAATACAATCGTATAGGATGTGTACCTAGCTATCCCTCTTTTGAAATGATTATGATGTCCTTATAATTTGATAAAACTGGATATCTGTGAAAATAAGTATTTTATTGTAATATCAATAACACCGTTAGATATATACTTACTTTTTAATATAACTGACAACATCATTTAATATAAAATGTACACTGCCATCAATATTTACGGTTAATTATGTATGAATCCAGTTATTATTTTACTTTAGTGACATCATTCATTCTTTCGAAATCGAGATATTGTGATTTCTTTCGCTTGAAAGCGTATCAAGGACCTTGGCCGGATTTTTTTTATTCTCCGGAACCATCTCAATGACACTTAGAAATATCTCAGATATATAAATATTGACGACAACATAAGCATCGCATAGAAGTAAGCGATTAGGAATATTGCGGGATAGATGGTATCGTAGAAAACAAAAAAAATCCTTTGCTTATTAAACAATCAGCTAAACTCGATATGAAACGTTATGTTTGTTTTACTGTTTTGGGGTTTAACATCCTTACAATAACTATTAGGGCCATATTACATTTAGAACGGATTCCTATGGGGACTACGCCGAAACAATGGTAAGGAAGCGAAAAATAGAAAATGTATAGATCTCAAGTGTTGTAATGGTTTCTTTATTGACCGCTAATTAAAAGACATTGACTAAACCCAATATTTTACAGGGAACCCACATCGTTCGCCTCTTATGACTAGCAGTGGGAAACAACAGACCTATTCTTTACCCAAACCCGAAAGGGTCATTAGAAACTAAAATGCACCGCTAAGACTTACGCTCTTCAAATTGCAAATTTAAAGGACTCACACAACTAAATCATTTACTATATGTTGTTACCAAACATTTTAGCTAATAATTTTAATATTTGAAGTTCAACACCAGTGGCAACTGTCTAGATTCATAAATAAATACCTTGCAAAGGCTACAAAACGACTTTTTTGGTAGGTATAGTGGCATATTGGAGTATCACAACGTCCAGATGTTGACAACCGGAGGTTTACAAGCAAAACCGGTGACCCTAAACAGAAACGCCCCCATAAATGTTGCCCCTGTGCAAATCCACACACAGACATGGAAATATATCAAATGTATGCATTTGTTAAAAGTTGAATACCTAAACATTTCATTTATCTAAACATCTGTCATCAGTTCCTATTAAACTTCCTTAGTGGCCCAGTAATTAGCCGGAACTGATGTTAGATAGGAACTACAAACGTATGAAACACTTGTTGATTGGCTGCTTTAGTTGTGCGAGTCCTAAAAGCGATCCCTTAGAATAAAAGCTGATCAGAAATTAAAAGCCTAATATGGACATTATAGGTAGTGGGCTTTGAATATAAAATGTATTGTATTATTAATAAAGATTCATGAAGAAAATATATTAAAAACGTAGCATTAAGGAGACAAAATTCTTCCAAAATATTGTTTTCCTGTAAGAAATAAGTGCAATCTTCAATAACACTCATCAGTTTGGAAACATGCAATATCGAAGTTTAACTTTGTACACAATCAGTGTACGTATTAAACGTGTCGCTATGTTTCAAGACTGGTCCCTTATATAGGTCATAGCTTGACAAAGGGACCAGTCGGTCTTGAAACGTTGCGATACGATCAATAGTTCTTTGTTTGTGTAAAAAGTGACACTTTGATATAGAAAATAACTGGATATTATAATTCGCGACGTTTACTTACCCGTTATAACTTTTCTCCTCTGGGTATCATTAGCAACTTGCAGGATTTCCGCAGCAGGATTAAAATAGTCTAAATATTCAGTAAACGACTGTGGGTGTATGACTGTAAATTACAAAAGGAAATACAACAAAGGTATAAAGATAATAACAAAAGGCCGATGGGCCTGAACGTTACAAGGATTGTACTATAATTGTTTGAAGAGGAATTATGATGTCGGTAAAGACACCGACCACAATCTAAATAAGTATAATACTATTGATTTATAATAGTTCGTCAAATTGTTTTCATTTTAGCGATACATTTATTTACTAAGGCAGTCCCTACACTAAGTTTAGGTTGAAATGTTTACCGGACGACGAAGGGCAAGGGATCGCAATAACTTAATCAATTGGGATGTATCAAAAATCTTTACTAACTTTACATACAAATACCGTATCATACACGTCACATCTCTTATGATCAGTCTATACTATCCATGTTTGCACTGGAGACATCTCCTCCGTGTTACAAGACACTCAAATACAAGTACTATATCTTAAGATGCACACAAAATAAATATATGTCATAAATGCATAATACTCACGTTTGCAGCCATATCTTTTGCTGCTGTCTGGAAGAAAAACATTTCTACTGAAGCATTTTAAGTGGAATTGTGTTACACGATGTGCGGTGTGCGCACGATGTGTGCACGGTGTGTGAACGGTGTGTGCACGATGGGCGAACGATAAAAAGCTGGACGATCATTGTTTGCGCACATCTGTGCGCACGACGGACGGACGTTGTGCGATAACAAACGTGGTTGGTGTAAATTGAGGAATGCCTTAACAATGTATACGGTTCCGTGTTTAAACATATAAACTTGATGTTAACGTATGTTTTTATATTCTAGCAACATCTATAAACTTTTATTTCTGTCTATACATTCTTATATTTAGAAATTGTGTTTTCTGTGTTTTTAAACAAACGTAATCGACACATGTAAAATTACAATACAATCCCGTATACACAGGTAAACATAACCCTTTTGTACATGTACCTGGACCGTAGTTTTCTACCCGCCTGGGGCACTTACGTAACCCGTCGGGTAAAGCTAGGTCGGGGGTGTGAAAATCCAGGTGAAGGGGAGCTATAGGCAAACACATGCAAATAACAAATACTATTTATTACGGTCAAACGGTATCGCATATCAGCTCTGTGTGTCAGGGACTGGTCAGGTAAAACTCCGGACATTCATCAAATTGTTATTTACCTGTTCTGTTACCTTGGAGCCAAACCCATTCTTGACAGCCTAAAGGTCGCTGTAATACTGTGTACCACGCATTGTGAAATTGTATAATCTTGATTATTGTGATGAGAAATTACAGATATATACACAGTGTACATTATCGCATACAAGCCTTCCGTATTTTTGCCATTCCGTAATTTTGATCTACAAATGATACCAAATCGCACAGTTGTGCGGAGAGAAGCGCACAACGGCGCGAACGATTGCTAAATCGCACCATGCGGAACGATGTGCGGACGGTGTGTGAACGATGTATGCACGGTGTGCGCACGCTTCTTTTGGTGCGTTGTACGGTCCCACAACTGTACCTCCGATCGAGGAATCCCCTGCGCAACCCAACCAACATATTCATTATATAACTTAATGCGACCAAAATGCTTCTTCATTTCCAAACGACAATCGTTGGTTGTGACAACGTGACTATGTCTTTTATTTCTGCCGAATTTTTATATCAATGGGGCTAAACTGCATCTTAATTTAGAAAACGCGCTTTTGTGATTTTTCGGTAAAATATCGTGCACATTAACAATTAATTTGTTAATCCAGTAGTCATGATTTTGTTTGTGTTTCTCCACGATATTTTGTTTTTGTCACACCAAGGACACACAGGAAATTACCGAAGCCGCACCATCAAAAGTCAAAGCTTTTCATTCTGTATCGAGTTCAACATCCTCGGTATCCAGGGGTTACACTAACTTTCGCTCTCTGCACCCCTGGACTATATCATGGCAAAATTGAAGGCACGATGATAGCTGTTTGATTGGTTTCAGGTAAAAAAAAAAAAACACACTGACCAATCGCTAAGGTGATACCTGTCCTTTGAAGATAACAAAGGAGAGACGCCCTGTCAGTTTTTTTGATGTACATCAAAGAATCAAACTAGTGTTCTTGTCTCATCAAAAAGGTGGCGCACACCGAGCCTTCAATTTTGCTATGACATATTCCAGGGGTGTAGAGAGCAAAAGGGAGCGTAACCCCTGAACTCAAATTAAGAAATATTGGTCTTCTCACCACTTCTTATCCGAAATAACAACACAAACACGCAAATATACATTTGCCGTACTAGCCCGTCTTGAATTGTGCAGTCGGCGTTTCATACTTTTTTTTGTTCTGGTCGTCCCAGATACTCCATACATGAAACCCCAGCACAGGAAAAACCGGAGATAACCCCCGGAAACCTGCGTCCCGACGGCTTGAATCAATTATTTCCATCTGCAATACATTCCCCGTGCCGACACAGGGACCGCCGTCAAAAAACCGAAAACCAACGCTCACCAGAAGCTCTACTGACCCGATATCAGCGCACCACACTCCCTGTAACGTATCGTACCCGTGCTCGCACAACTGTTGAACAAACTCTTTTACAGGAAATGCGTATCAATCCTAGCAACGCTAAAAGCTGCGGTTACATACCGACACCCGTATATCGGATAAACCCTATAATTAACGGAAAACATCTAACTAAAAGAGCTATGCCTATTCCCAAAATATATGATCCGCTAGTGTGCGCGTCCAACCGTGCACTGTTAAGACGCGTCCTCTATGGAAGGGGATCACCGCCATAATTATTTTGTCTAGAATTAGTTACTTCTGGTTTGGAATCTAATTCTATGTACATTTGTATTATTTCCCTAGTTGATAAGTTATAGAATTAGTTACTTCTGGTTTGGAATCTAATTCTATGTACATTTGTATTATTTCTCTAGTTGATAAGTTATAGAATTAGTTACTTCTGGTTT